TGGAAAAGTTTATTTCTATATTTTTTCATAACACAGCCAAGCAGTGCCATTGTTTCAGCAGCATCGATTGCAACTTTCGCCACAACAACAACAACAACGCAGCTTTCTATCATTCCCACGATGCTTAACTTCTGTGCATTTTTGTTGTAGTTTTCTTGCAGCACCGCTTTTTATTTTCTAATAATGCAAATGCCAAATTGAAAGTTGCATATATATAATATATATATATATATATATACAAATATATGGTTTGTAAATATGTGTACTTTGCAACTGTCAACCAGCATTCGTTAGCCAAGCAGCTACACGGCACTACTGCGTTGACTCGGGCACTTAGTGCAGCAGTTGCACGTCATTCTCGTCTTCGTTGGCAGGTGAGCAATTTTATGTCTACTTCTGCAGCTTCTTTCGCGCTGTCACACCGTTATTGCTTCATTTGTGTACAAACATTTGAATCTCGTTCCCCTGGCAATTTTCACACTGTCGCGTTGCTCAACTACATGTGCATTGTGATTGACTGTCTTCTGGCTTTCATGACAGCAGCACTTTCCGCTGGCTTCACTACCGTGTTATTGCCAACATAAAATCTCACACTTGCACTAAAACACACACACACACAATATATATATATATGAATATAGGAAATATAGTATAGATATAAGTACCATATGTATGTTTGCATTAACAGTGACTGGATAGTGTCTGCATTGTGACTACTTTAAGTTGCCAACCTTTGCATAAACTGAGTGACTCAAAGTGACAGGTGAATGTGTGTGTCTGTAGTTTTTATGCAATTTACTCAATGTGTTTATTATGTGGCGCTTACTTTAGTGTGGTTCAGAATTGAAATTCTTTTGAAAAATAAGTTTAAAGAGTAGTGTTAGATACAAAGTGCGACGCTTTGGTATTTATTATAAATAGTTTATACCCTTCTGTGATTACTCTTGTATATGCTCATTACATAACATACTATAACATTACGTAACATCCAACAAAAAAATTAGACAACATTACTTAACATAACAAAAAAATTAGACAACATAACATATTACATAACATAACATAACATAAAAATTAGATTACATAACATAACAAAACTTAAAAAAAAAATTAGATAGCATAACATATTACATAACATAAAAATTAGATTACATAACATAACAAAAAAATTAGATAACGTAACATATTAAATAACATAGCGTAACAAAAGAGTTAGATAACATAACATAACAAAAAAATTTGATTACATAACATAACAAAAAAACTAGATTACATAATATAACAAAACTTAAAAAAAAAAATTAAATATGTGGCTCCTGGAGTACCAAATATAGACCTTTTTTATCGAGTCTCCCATACATATGTGAAGCTGTCAAGCATACATGCACAGCTTTCAGCTCTATATGTACCACATGCATTTGACTTTTGCATATTATTGTGGAAGTCTGTTGTTGTATTTTTTTTTTGTGCACTGTTGTTTGTATTTGTAGCCGCGTCACTGCATTGTCACATGTATATTTAATATTTATTGATTTTTCGTGTTGCCAATTTGGTTAATCTGCAAAACGGTGTGAATGACGTTGAGGGTTGTGGTGGTACATTGTTGCTTTTTGAACTGGTTTTGGTAGGAATTGACACAATGGATATTTTTAGATTCTCATGCAAACCTTTTTCAAGGCTTATATTAATGCTTAGAAATTATTATGTAACACAATACAAATATATATATATATATTTTTTTTTCATATTGACAGCGTTAACTATTCTAGAACTCATATGTATACATTAGGGTGTCAGTTATTTCCTAAGTTAATTTTTCCAAACGTCCCCTGAAGTTTCAGTTTTTGTCTTTAAAAAAGATCCAACTCTTTAATTTTATCTCCAAAACAAATAAAACTACTAATTAAAAAATTGCATTGTAATAAAAACTTTCCGTTCCACAAAAAAAGTTTTAAAATTGTTTTTTTTTCAAAAGACAATTCCTTTAAAACTTATACGCAACTAAAGTTATTCATCATAACTACTGTATTCACAAAGTGCACCATGTCGTATGAGCAACACAGAATATATATATCACTTTTGGCCACAATATTACATTTTTATACCTTGAACAACTGTGAAAAGTATTTTAGTAACGAAACAGTTGAAGTATTTTTTTCTCCAATGTGAAAGTATTCAAGTTTTATTTCTTTTTAAATAAACAACATATCTCGTACTCTCAATACTCCAGCAGGCCGGTCGGTTGTCTGTTATGCATTTTGCTTGCTCAACATTTGACTGTTTTATACAATCAATTCAATGTGTCAGATTGATATAAAAATTAATAAAAAGAATTAATGGCAATACCGCGGATAGATATGTCAGTGATAATGTTTTTACATGAAAAATTATTGAGTAAATAAATTTACAACCTTTCGCACACGCACAGTTACAAACTCGTATCTTTATTCTGGTTCTTACTGCTGTAAATTTTTTGTGGTCAGCGTTGACCCCACTTGTTGCCCTACATACACATATTTAATTCAAATATTATTTTTGCTTACTGTTATGTCATCGTGCGCATTGTGCCGAGCGCATTGTCCTTAAGGGCTGACCCATAACCAGCCACCACAAAAACAACTACCGCATTAAAAAACATTTTATCGTGGCGAAAATAAATTAAATATTAAAAGTAAGGAAAAAAAATGTAAACAAAAAGTTGTCGTGCATTAAAAATAGCTTACACAAAAAAAACGCGTGCAAACAAAACGTTAATTTAAAATTAATTCATTGCGGTAAACCAATCAATTTAAGTACGAAATGCGAAATGTGCAGGCACCGAACACAATCGCAATTAATTCCAACAAAATTGATATCAACTACTGCCGCCTGCCACTCTCACATGCCTTCCGCTCTCACAGCTCTAGTGCAACCTACTACTCTCTCTCACGCCACTAACTAAATCTCTGTACTTTGTGCTCTGTGTTGTTCTGTCCGCTTTAACCGATTTAAAGTATTTATTTGTATTTACTTAAGTACTTTGTAGCGAACACAGATATTCAGTCAATGGAAATTCGGTGAATGTACTTGTCAGTTAATGGCACCAGTCCGCAAGTGGCATGGCATCGTCATTAGTGAACGTTTGCCTTGCCTGCTCGTTTTCGCTCACGGCCATAGCTGAGGCGCTAATTATATTTTAATCTCGTGTTAATTAAATAAGAGTTTCAAGTAGCTGGGCGCAAACAATTGCTTGCCGAGGGAAAGGAAGAGGGGAAGGGAGGCATGCAATGCTTTCGACATAGTCAGACACAATGTCTACTTGCCGCTCATTTGACTGCATTTTACGAGCTTCAAAGTGTCACAATTAAATGCTAGAGAATAGTACATCAATTTCTTTGTGCCCACTTCGAAATGGAAGAGGTTTCTTTATATTGTCTTTTTGACTTATGTCTAAGCTAGCTTACCGTAAACTGAAGGTTAAGTGGTTGACACAACTGGGCAGGACTTTTCAAGTGCACTAGCTTACCTTTATGTAAATTATAGTTAACGATTGTTGTCAGTTTTGGTTCAGTACTTTTAATCTACCCCCGTATAAGACACATAATCGTCAAGCTGCAGCTAAAAATTACCATTAGAAAAGTAAAAATATTAAAGTTTTGTGATGATATAATCCTTAGACGTCATAAGTACGACTATGTTTATCTTCAAGCGGTTCTGTAATGATAATTACACACCAAAACGTTTCTGAATTTTAGGCCAACGAACTATCTTAGACATTTAGGTTATGTGCAACATAATTTGACGGTAATAATTCCGATAACTGACTGATAATTACATCCCTTTTCATTTGAATACAAATACACAGATGAGAAGAAAAAATATTAGTCAAATATACTGCAATAGGGCCACCATGTGATTCGTTCGTTGAACCCTACGATGAAAATTTTGAAAACAGATTATAGAAGTATAGCAATATTTTTTAGTTGTATCATGTAGATCATGAAACCAGACTTTGTCAGGCTTTCTAGAAAAGCTTCTCGAAATTATAGTGAAAATCTGGCCACATCTCTAAAACAGTAGGCGAAAAACACATTTTGCATTTAGGTTACAATAAAGTAACGTAGTAAAAAACGACTCCATCGGTCTAGTAAAAGCGCTCTTACTCCTCAGTCTTTTCAAATTTCTTACTTTGCAATCATTCCTAATGTTCTCCAAAACTTTTTGCAAATTCTGCAAGTAGTTTGTAACTTTGTATATAGTTGAGAAAATGCATCCAAAGTTCGACCTAAGTATTTAATCTCAGCCAGCAGAGTCTGGTGATAAAGTAATATCTAGAATATACTAATTTTTTTTTGAATTTTTAAACTATTATAAGTGTAATCGGTTTCGATTCAGAGCTAGAACTGCTCTGAGTCCAGAAATATCTCTCACGTTCAGCGACCGATTTCATTCATCGATTACAGAAATAAGTCACACATTTTCTGACTCTATGTTCCTTACTTTAGTGACTAATTTTAATCAACGAAATCTCGTAAATTGCTTTCCAGAACATACTAAATTCCATGAGTTTTCCAAAGTGTTGAAAATATGATCTGAGGCGATCTTGAACTATTTCTTAACTGCGTAATGCTCTTAGAACTTAAGTGAGAAATTCACTATTAGACTTGGTTATTTGAAAATAGTTATAGAAATATCGTCATTTATCTTGAAGTACTCGTAAATCACTAACAGTCAAAATTCCGAATAAATTCGACAAGTGTACTCGTATCCTAATTTGAACTAGCTACAGTGTCAGTTTGTCCACATTTCTTTAAGTCCTCGATTTAAAATGATCCTTAATTCACTAAACTCACTTTAATCTCGTTGAAAAACTGTTTTTATTTTCTCATTGAAATATTCCTTAAACAATTTTCTATACAAATTTCCAACAACTACTAATTTTCCTTATTTTTTAGTTGTTGCTTTCATGGCACTTGTTAAGTGCCCGTTTGTTCGCTAATTCTTTTAAAGGTTGCGACCTCTTTTACAGTAATTCATATTGCACTCATTTATTCCTCTCTTTCATTATAGTTGCACTCTCTAAGCGACATGCAAGTATATACTTTCGTATACAATATAATATTTATATTATATTTGGTATATAGGTATATGTATATGCTTTCAAGTGAGCATTAATCGACACTCACATAGGGTTCCGTAGGCGTCACGCTTTTATTGTTGACTGTAAGCGAGTTCGCGTCTTTAATTTGTCGTCTATTCTCTCAGCTGGTTTTTGTTGTGCTCCTTCAGGCGTCATTTTAGATTTAATTCGTTTGGAAATTTTTTTTAGACCTTGACGGCGGTAGATCCTGAGGGCTTTGCCAACTTAGCATGCTATTGTGTGAGCATACCGTAGTTGTTGTAAGTTATTTTTCTAGCAGCAAATATTAAGGTTATAAGTTGTAATGGCATAGTTATGTACTTTCGTTGTACTTACTATTTGATATTATATTCAATTTTCACATTATAATTTCTTCTCGCAGTACAGTAGTTATCAGTGCATTCAGGGCGTTACGTATACGCACCGTATAGTTTTGCATTGCAATAAGGCCAAGAAGCTTAATATAAGAGAAAATACAGATTAGATGGAATCCGCTCAATAATATTATAAATTCTCACTTTTCACTTTTGCAACCATATATTTATTAAGGTTAAACACAGGACAAGCCTGACTAGATTTCTAGGTCATACAGTTGACATATTGTTAAGCTGTGGCAAATAGCTGAAATTTTCTAATTTGTTGCAATTAAAATTTGAAAGGGAAATTCTGCAGCTTGAGCTCAAACATTGTTGTGTGACAACATAGTGTGGTAGAGACAAATGACCCGGTCTGTTGCACCTCAACTAGCAGAATGCAACACTGCGGCGAAGTTAAAAGCAAGCAAAGGAAATGAAGGAAAGGCACCAGCATAAAAATGCAATGCAATAAACATATGAGAAGGATTAATTAGCATAATTGGAGTGGTTTTTTCATGTACTAGATTTGAGCAGGACAAAATGTAGAATGCAAATGAAAATGAATCGAGTTTCAAGTGCTATTGCAAAAGTTGAAAAATCATAATTATATAGTAAACAGACTTATGTTTTTTATCGCTCCACGCGTGCTTAATACCATGTATAATATTTTGTTACATAATTATTGTGAATGAATTATAAAGCTAAGTGAAATTGTGGATAAAAAACAGTTGCACAATGTATTATGAGCAAAAACAACTATGATTCGCTTTCCGTGGTACCGAGTTGCAGCTATTTCACAAGCTTGTTTGCAATTTAAAATATTTGAAATTTTTATTGCAGGAAAAAATAAACACGACACGCGAGTATATAAAATATATTTGTTTAATATGTGCATATCCATATGCGTGCAGAGTGCAAAAAGGAACAAAAAACAGTAAGATTTTATTTGAGTGGCAACATTTTGATGGCATACCCTTTTTATGCAAGGAACTAAAAAATATTTTCTGCGTGAGGTACTTTAATAATTAAATATAGTATGAAAATAATACTTAAGTGCGCTAAAAAAAAATATTTATTTTTTCATAAAAATATAAAGCATTCAACTATAAATACATAAAATAAAATAAATTAAGATATAAAATTATATTAAGTCAGTGAATACTATTTTAAAATTTTTAAATAAATATTTAAAGTAATGGATTAATTTGATAAGCTGCTCAATCCAGCTATGTAAAATATTTGATTTGTGTTTTTCCGAACAAACGAAAAATTATAAAAAATGTAAATCATTTTCTGGAATGTTTTTCCCTATATATGAACTGCAAAGTGAAAATTACATTTTGAAGTTAGAAGCAATAAATTACTACAAATATTTAATTAAATATGAAATAAATTAAAATAAAATGAAAGTATTAAAAATTATTAAAGTAAATATATTTAAAATTACTAAATAAATATATTATAAAAGAAAATAGCAATTGTAAAAAATCAATGCGATTCTCGCAAGTCACTAAGGACTTTTTTAAAGACATGCTTATGCTAATAATTTATATTTCAACATATTAAACAATAAAAATTATTATTTTTTTTAAAGAATTCCAACATTTAAAACATGAAATATTGGCAGCAATATATGATAATATTTTACATCTACCGATATCATTTAATAATACAATATTACTATATTAATCTTTTTGATAATCAGTAGAAATTATTTAAGGAAAATATAATAAACTACTTTAATAAACTAATTGTATCAGCATTCGCTTGCCTTGCATAATAAAAAAATTGGTAAACGGTTGCCTAACGGCTAATATTCCAGCGGTTGTCGCCTTACATAATACGGGTCAAACACAAGTTTATTCTGACTTTGATCACAGCAATTCTGCATCCATTTAAAGTGTTAAATTAAATCTAATAATAAAATTTGCTCAAATATAAATCTAGAAGCCTATAATATAAAGAGTGAATCCGCGGAGCCCCTCAATAGTTTCTTCTAGAGCAAACTTTTCATCTTATTTACGACAAATTTTGAAAAAAAATTTTGCTTCTGGAAGAAACAAGAAAAGTTGTTAATTTCGGCTGCTCCAAAGCTATAAAATACCTTACAGGTTAATTTCTTATCGCTTATGTGTGTTCAAAGGAAAAGGTAAATTTTGAGTTTTTCGAAAAGTACTTATTTACTCATCAATATATATTTCGCCCCCTTCAAAGTAATATCCCTCGGATATAATACACTTGTGTCAACGCTTTTTCCAATCCTTTCATTGGTTTCTTCAGTTTTGGGAATAGGAAAAAGTCGCAAAGGGCAGGGAATCTGGTGAATAAGGTGGTCGAGGCATGATTATGGTTTTGTTTTTGGCAAAACAATCACTCCTGAGCAATACTAATGCGACATTACTTTTGCTAAAAATTTGGCCGATTGATATGCCAACATCCTCTGCAACTTCTCTAAGCGATTCCACGATTTTCATGAATAATTTTTTTCACTGTTTCGATGTTTTCTTCGCTTGTTGATGTGGTCGCACCTCCGGTATGCTCACCGTCATCAACATCTTCTCGGCCTTCTGTAAAGCGCTTGTACCAGTTATAAACAGTTTTTTGGGGTAAAGTGGACTCACCGAATGTCACAGTCAATATTTCAAGTGTCTTGGAGCACTTTATTACATTTTTAATGTAAAATTCAATACATATTCTTTGATCCATTTCTTTCAAAAGTCGAACATCGAAAAGCACACAAAAACGTGATTAACCTTTTCTTTCTAATGTATATAAAGCCTAAAAAATTATATAAAATTATAAAGTTTAGGAAAAGTTGATAAGAAATTAATTTAAAACAAATAATAACTAATAATTTGTATAAAACGTTGATTTTATAAACAATATAAAATTTATAAATAAAAAAAAATTGTGAAAAGTTGATTTTATAAAACTAATTAATTTGTAAAAAATTATATAAAATTATAATATTAAAAATATAAATAATAAGTGGTTTAAATTAAATATTTATAATTAAAAACTTTACAAAAACGAAATTTGCTTATTCTTTAACTTTTTTTTTGTATATTTCCGAGGTGTAGTTAATAAAAAATCGCCATCACTTAAAACCTTGTAATTTTTCCAGATTTTTATAGGCTGAAGCAGTCAATATGTGTAATATTTCAAAATATCCAATAGAAGCACATTGCTTTAATTTCAAAATTCGCAAACAAATTGACTGACTAAATTTATACCAATCAACTGTTGTTTACTGTTAACACAAAATATACTTAATTATAATATACATATATAGTAAGTGCATTAGTAAAAGTAACGTTAGCTTAGCTGCATATAAATAACTGTACAGTTAGCTGTTAGTAAATAATAATAAGTGTACATAAAAAATGAGGAAAATGGTAAAAGCTTTAATTAACTGTTAAGTCAAAGAGTATATATGTATACAAAAACCAAAACAAAAAAAAATAAATAAATAACTAAAACAACAAAAAATAGAAAACATAAAAAAGTACACAGTAAATTATATCAACAGAAAGTGTGAAAAAAATTACATAAACCTAAAAATAAAAAGAGTAAGCCACAAAAATATTTACCGTTATTTCATATGCAAATATTTAATAATAAGCAACAAACTAACCAATAATCAGCTAATGAACTCAGAAGTCAATTAAAGCGCCGAGCCAAAGTTTTGTGGGCACTCAAAAAATGTTAAAACAGTAATTATGCATAAATAAAAAAAAAAAAAAAAATAATAATGCAATTAAACAAATTTTAAATTAAATAAATATAAATTTTTGCCGAAAGCGCAAAAAGAAACAAAAAAATTTTAGTGCAATTGGCGTGAAAGCTAAAAATCCAACACAAATTTGTTAGTGTAAATCAATTAAGCACAATTTGTTTTGATAATTTCATGCAATAAATACAAAACGAGGAAAAATACGCTACAACAACAACAAACCAACCGAATCGCCTGCTGTAAGCTGGCATTATAATATAAAATAAATTGCGTGCGTGTGTGTGTAACAACAGAATCGAAAACAAAACAACGGTAAATACCGGGATTTTAAGTGCATACTTAAATAAACACAAAAATCGTAATTAATTCAATTTGTGTGAAAGTGCTAAGTGTAAAACGCTTCAGGTAATACCAAATGGCCAGCGGGCGGCGCGGCGCAATGGTGGCAATAATAAAATTTCATGCTGCTAGCTAAATTAAACTAGAAGCAGCAAATATTGTTTTGTTTCGCAAGTTTATGAATGGATTTGCGAGCTTTTGGGAGCAAGCGTAGCTGCAACAAGCCAACACACAGCACGTAAATACACACATACATGTGTTGGTGTATGTAGTTGCGTTTTATGTATGTAGTGGTGTAGTTTAACCGATTTTATGCTATCTATGTGTAAGTGTTGGCGAATATGTGTGCTTAGAAATAGCAATTCAGTGTTTAAATGTATGGAAATGTCTACGTGCCTGAAAGTATGCTAACAAAAATTTATTTTATAAGAAAAATGTTATAAATCAGCGCAAAAAATTTAAAATAAAAGCTAAAAAGGATTTTAATTAACTAAAACTAAATGAAGCGATTAATAAAATTAAAAAACTATTGAGAATATTAAAAAAATTATTGAAAATATTAGAAAATTATTAAAAAAAAAATTAAAAACTAATTTGTGAAAAAATTAAAAATTAAGTATAAAAAAGAATTCCAAAAATTCAAAATAAAAATTAAAAATATTATTTTGAAGCTAATTTTAATAATTTAAAATAAAAACTATGTAAAATATATGTTTACGAAAAAAACCTACAATACTTACTCAGTTTGCACTAGCAGTTTGTTGTAGCTGTTTTATGTTGCACGCTGTCAAAGTAGCTTATAATGCAACTCCTAAATCACACAACCAAGCCTACTATTAGCAAAAAATTACGATTAATGTTCCTGCTACACAATAATAAATACTGAAAAAAATTTAAAAATATAAGAAATTTAAATATAAACAGGTAAATAAAAAAAATGTAAAAAATAATAATTTGCAAAATTTAATAATTTTTAATTTATTAAAAAATCTTTCAAAAAACCAGCGTCTAGCGCTTAGCAGCAAGTGAATGCCACAGTTTCCTAGTCAACTGCATTAGCTCTGTAGCGTCTACACATATCCTCTCTGCCACACTCGCACACACACACCGTTACCGTTAACCGCATAAGTATGCCGTTATATATGTCTCAATGTACATAATAGCCGTTTGTGCGTGTATATGTGTGTCTACTTTATGCTGTGCAATGCCGATTAGCATATTTGGTAAGCGTCTAACTGCCGCCCATCAGCGTGTGAATGCAACGAAAAAGACAACAACAAAGGTAGCCGAGTGGTTTGTCGTTGTAAGTTGTTATTGCTATTACTTTGCTGTTTTTTTTTTTTATTGTTTGCTTTTACATTTTCAATTTAGTTGCTCTTCATAGAACATTACCTATATTTCTAAATTTGAACCCTTGCACCTTACTCGCGCCCAATCTCCCCGCTTTATGTGCTCACAGTGAAAATTATGCAGCATGCTGGACCACATGGCGTATACGTAACGCACTTATTAGCTTTAAGTATTTAGTTTTTCATGTTTCTGTTAACATTACATATTTGTTGTTGTTGTTTTTGTTAATATTTGTATGCTATATTTTAACTTAAAAGCAAATTTTCAATATAAATTACATTTCTATTTCACATGCATGACTGCATTTTCACTAGTACTATAAGTTCACGCCTAAATGTAGGCAATTTATTTGTAAATTTAATAGTATTTTTCAGTTTTTTAATATTTTACTTCGTGATATAAATAGATTTTTGTATAAGTGTCAGTACAGACGTAATTTTCATGTATATATATAAGCGGTATGTACTCCAACGGTACTTCAAGAAATTTTCTAAAACTATTTTTTTAAGTTAAGACAGCTCTATAATTTATTAACGTTAATAAAAGTCACATTAGCTATCTAAATGCATGTATTTTTTTCCATTTCAATGCGACCACCTTGCATAGAGCCTAAATGTAGGCAACGTTTCTGTAAAAATTTTCTATTTTTTTAAGTTGCGTTAGTAAGAGTCATATTAGATATATAAATGCATAGAGTTTCCATTAAATTGCGCCTACGTTACTGAAAAACAAGCATATAGCCTAAAAGTAGACAACATTAATTCAAAAATGTCCTACCCTCTGACCCAAAAACAATTTTATGTCCACAAAAAGTCTAAAATTCTAGCAAAGAAATATATAATACAAGCTATGGCTGGGTTAAATTTTTAGCACATGTAGATTTAGCATTCATAAGAAGTATATAAATAAATTTAGCTTAGTATTATATGTGAAAGAGTTTAGTATCTTTATCTCGTCTTCAGAGCTTGTAGTCGGCTACATGTATAAAAATATAATTTATAATTTTTTTTACAAAAAATTAAGATATATATTGCTTTAAGAAGAGGGCATTCTTCCTAAATGTAGGCAGATTTTTTTTATATCAAACCTCATTTGGCATTTTCTGCACACTATACGAACTAAAACAGCTACATTCATTTATCGTAATTTCAAATAAAAAGTACATGAAAATAGCCATTGAATGCCTTGAGTATTCTACACCAAAACAAGTTATTGATTTAAGGAGAGCTTTTCAGAGTTACTTTAACACTAGGTATTACAAGTCAATAAAGCTTAGTTAAATAGAAGTTCCATCTGCTTTTCGAAATATGTCAACATCAAAATTTGTTCTCTAAATTCTAAAAATAAAAAATGTTCAAAAAATTTATAAATATTAAGAGCTTCAAGCACAATTAGTCGCATCAGAAATCTTAAATTCATTTTCGTAGATTATTACTTTACCAAAGATTAACATTTTTAAAAATAATACTTTTCTCAATTATTTTCTAAACTGCACAAACACTTACACAACAGATACTCATAACAGATTTTTAAAAGCTGACTTTATCAATTCTAATCCACAATTTCACTTTTCACCTTTATGCCTCGCATAATGGTCAATCGGTTTTAACCTCACATTTTGTTATGAAATCTTTTTCACAACTTTTTGCTTCATCGGTCAGCTGCAAAGCTTTTAACATTTAATATTATATCGTTGTTATATCACTTACCCTAAATGGCCACATAAAATTGCTTAACTATCCGCATAGAAATAAGCGTACATAACTGTTAACATTGTAGTACATATGTATATGGTTTTATATTATATTTATGTGTTGTTGTTGTTTTAACTTATGAAATTTGCACAAGCGTGTTGAAGTCTGCATTTTCCAATTTCAATTTTGTTACATAATTGAATTCATGCTGCTAATCTAAACACAAAAATCAGATTAAATTTTGATTTTTTCACACACAAAAAATGTTTCGAAATGAAAAATATTAGTGAGGTATATACTTTATACATATTTGAGTACACATGTGTGTATTCGAATGTAAATGTAAATTCACTTGAATAATTCGTTGTATATTGTTTGTGTTAATAGTCAAATGTTGCCACTTATTTCCGAATTTGTAGTCAATAAGGCCACTAAAATGTGGATGTAAAAGTAATGAAGCTAAGAAACTTAAAGATAATTTTTGTGTGTTATGTTAGTTGATAAATTAAATAGAAGGTTGCCATCTCTTTGAAAAATTTTAGTACACAAAATTTGAACTTACCAATTTAAGATTTCAAAATAGAGTCATTAAACTTGAATGTTTGAAATCCTAAAATTGCTCACTTTTGATTTGTTTAAGAAGTGTTGCCACCTGTTGCAATATTGTAATTCAATAAAATTGTTAAGACAAATAACATGTATGAGTATGGAACTGCAAAGGTTTAAAAATACTAAATGTTGAAAATATTTATGTTGCCACCTTATTAGATATTCTTTTTTTTATTTTATTTGTTAAAAAATTGAAGAAGTGTTGCCACTTGCATATTAAATACGTGAATAAGCATGAATTATTATGAAATTCTTTGAAATTAATAAAAAATTTAAAAAGCTGATAGTTGAAAATATTTATGTTCGAAAAGGCTTGCCACATTACTGGATTTTATTATAATTGCTTAAAAACTGTACTTTATAAAGCTGGGATCAAGAATAATAGATTTGAGAAACCCTACAGTTCTTAATATTTTTGAAAATGGTTGCCATCTGTTCGAAATTTTCAAATTAAAAAAAACTACTAATATAAAGAACTTGAAATAGTATAGCAAAATGTTTACCAAAAAAGAAAATTTAATGGATTTTAACTGAAATTTTTTTGGAAAGTAACTAGCGAAAAGAAATTCAGTATCAAATTTGTTGTAAGTAAGTGTTTTAGAGAAATGTGTTATTTTCAATGATTTTTGAATGCAATGTTTTGTTGGATATGTTTTTGATATTTATACCCTGAACCGGTATATTATGTTTGCTACGATGTTTGTAACACATAGACGTAAACGTCGATGACCCAATAAAATATATATTTAAATGTATAGCGTGTCCAGCTGAGTCGATTTAGCCATGTCCTTCAGTTTTTCAGAGATCGTTCTGAAATTTTCCGCAATTTCTTTTCTCACCAAAAATCTGCTTTTTTCGGTTCGACATTGAACTACTACAATATATAGCTGCCATACAAACTGAAAGATCGGAATCAAGTTCCAACTCGCACTTCTAATAATTTTTCGTTGAAACCTTAAACATTTTTTGGATTTTATATTTTCTTTAGGGATAATTAATTGATATATTTATTAAAATTTTATTTTTAAATCTCAACTTATTGTATTAATAACCTTTTTAGCAATCAATTGCCGTAAATTTCACATTTTGCTTTGTAATTCAATTAAGTTGGACAACATTCAATCTACAGAAAAATTATGCATAACAAATCTGGCTGTAATGGACTCGTTCAAAGCTCGCACAGATTTTCATGCATTTGTTTTTATGTTTACCAACCAAACCTGCAAACAGAGCTAGGTAAATAAGTATAGTAACATTGTCACAAAATAAACGTTTCATACTTTGTTACAAACTTATAATCGTTCAATGTCTTTTTGTTTTGATAAAGCAATTTTTTAAATTTACTTTCCACTAATATCCGCTAGATAATCAATAAAGAATATAACTGAGAGCTATGCTATCTGAAGCGGTGCTAATGAAGTGAGATTATTGGACAAGCACTCAACTTATTTTGAGTATAAAAGTACACAAAAATTTAAGGCATCGAAGATACAATTTCTAATGACATGATGATGTTTCGTCGATAATTCGATAATTCAAAAATTCAAATTATTTTAAATTGTTTTTTAACCAACTACTCTGGAGCATACGTTTGTTGAGCTGCTTTTTCATGAGTATGTGATTTTAGATATAAATTTGAATTTTAACAATTTTTTTTCATAATAAGCCTAAGCGAAATACTCGTATATGCAAGCAAGAAAAATAAAATATATGTAATTTTATAAAGTAACATGACATACACCATCAGCCATTTCATTGACAAATAAAAGTAATTGCTTAATAACTCTTAAATTATTTTATGATTTTTGAATCATTAATTTCTTAAATTTATTTAATGTTGCCTACATGTCGGCGCGCAACAAAGCAACGTAAAATTGTATAGCTATTAGACCAGGTAAGGAAAAAGAATAGGCATTACATCGACAAGATTGTGAAAATCTCTCGCTTTTTAAAGCTTAAGAAAAAATATACAAAAAAGTAATTATTATCAAAACAAAAAGTCAACTATGTAAAAGTGAACTCTTAAGCCTTTAAGTTTAATTTTATAAGTAATATTTAACCCAACCTCTTAAAGAAACATTGTTAGCAGTCTTCTGATAGTCTTCTGAAAAAGTCTTTTTGAGAACAAAAATGAATTTTCTGCCAACTTGTTTTAGTCACTTGGTTATATGCATTAACTGAAAATATATTTTAATAATTAATATTATTAGAACTTAAAATAAAGCGGGCTTTATAGACCCTGATTGCCTCCGGAAAAGTTTTCTAGAAGTGTTAGTTTGATGAGCTGTTTGTGACTAGTAAGATCAAAGTCAACGCAGCAAAGCATGATTTGCAAATTTAAACCACTTCGTGGATGTAGATATAGCCGCCAATAATTGAAACAGTTTCTGACATTTCGCTCGTGTAGTAAATGTTTATAACCAGAAACATGAAAAAACGTTAGCTTCCGTTTTACCAAAGCTACATTACTCTTCACAAATACAAAATATCGTTACAAGCACTTTATTTCTGAACTATTTTTTCGGAGATTGCTTTTACCTTAGGTAATAATACATGCTAAACTTCGTGAAGATGTCTCGTCAACTGTAAAAGTTTTCCATACAAGCACTTGATTCCGATCATTCGGCTTGTATGGCAGCTATATGCTTTT